ACCTAAATAATAAACATGTTAGTCAAACACTCTTTGTGTAGCTAAAATGATTATAGTAAATAGATATTGTGCTTACCAACGAACCGATCACGGCGCCACGTTTGGTTAACCATCTTTTTGTGAACTTGCGGTACCAAACCATGTATTCATCTTGGTACCCCATTGGCCTCGTCATTGGGATCCCATCAATTGCATATGTCTGACGAGACTCCCACATTTCAATCCATCTATGGTGCTTGGTTGGCCAATCACTGATTGTACCCCGCAAATCCTTGCTGTACTTGTGGAGTGACTTATGTACGTCCGGTGGTGGGAGAGGAATCGGTTGCACCCAATTATATTGTCGGACATATCTATCCGGGAGGTGCCACTCGACAATGTTGTGGCAAATCACAGGCAACTTGCATAACCAGAGTCGACGATCCTCAGGGTATCGCAACTCGTACAAATCCTTTGCTCCGTTCGGAAATGGATCCCACTCCACCTAAGTTTCAACACAACATATAAATTAAAATCGAAGCAAATAATTTCAACAAATAAATTAGGATTCATAATTATAGAAATAAATCATGGGCTAAGAAAAATAATTTCAACAAATAAAATAAAATTAGTAATCATAAAAATAAATCATGGGCTAAGACAAATAATTGCAACAAATAAAATAGAATTCGTAATCATAAAAATAAATCATAGGCTAAGACTAAGACAAATAATTTCAACAAATAAATTAGCATTCATAATCATAAAAATAAATCATGGGCTAAAACAAATAATTTCAACAAATAAAATAGGATTCATAATCATAAAAATAAATCATGGGCTAAGACAAATAATTTCAACAAATAAATTAGCATTCATAATCATAAGCTAGAATGTTACCTCGTTGAATTCTATACCGTCAAGATGTTGGCGGTACCCGTCTAGAGAGGTGAGTCTCATGATAGCTCCAATCCATCTAGCACCATAAGCCCATTGTCGTAGTGGCTCATCGAGACCCCAACTGTTGACAGGGCAGATCGGAGCGAAAGTAGGAAGGTGCTCCCAAACTCATAGTTGGAGGATGAACATGGGACCACCCGCTTGCTTTGTTTTCGGATCCGTACACTTGCACAACTCCGAATATATCATCGCCAAACAAGCAGATTCCCAACTTTTTCTCCCAATCTCGTCCCAATCTTCCAAAAGAACTCGAAGCCACATACAGATACAATGCATATTTCCACCAGACTTGTTCGGAAACAAAAATCCTCCAACCAAACAAATCAGGTAGATGCGAGCATACCTCTCTATCTGATCATCCGTGGCATCCTCCGGTAATTCTCCAACGGTCCTCATTAGCCAAGGTATCAATAACATAGAATTGTGTAGAGCTGGTACACGACGACCTTCTGCTGCTTCCTCGGGGATGTTGATACCTAAACGCTCGCTTATAAATTGGCCCCAACCATTCAATGGTTTTTGTGAACTTTCTATTATTGCATCACCATCGATTGGAAGCTCTGTCAGCATGGCTACGTCCTTCAAGGTAATCGTCATCTCTCCCTCTAGAAGGTGGAATGTGTGCGTTTCTTTTCTCCATCTTTCCACCATTACCGTAAGAAGGTTGTTGTCCATCTCTATCCCCACAAACTTTCGCACCCTCAACAATCACGCTCTTTCAATGAAGGGCTCGATACGATCATCCCATTTAGGCAAGCGAGATAGCGACCGATGGGTGATTACGTCAAGTTGTTCCTGTAGAAAAAAACATTAATTATTGTACAAAAAAAAAAAAAATTAGAAGAATACTATCACATTTCAAAAAGAAAAGTACATGAGGAAGTGCTTACCGGATCTGCCGCCCAAACACTTTCAGACCGATGGTAAGGTTGCTCATCCAATAAATCGGTTTCTCGCCTTGAATGTATAATCTAGGATCGTAAATACTCGGATCCATCTCGGCAATTTTGAGTGATAGAAGTACCAAACTAAAGAAAAAAATATGATGCGGAAGATCGGGCTTAGCCGCAACCACAAAGCATATTTTTTTCTTCAAGAGTGGTGGGAGGAAGAGAGGAAGAAGAATGGATTGGTGTGAGATTTGGTGGAATGGAAGGGGGTATTTATAGGTGCAGTGGGAGGAGGTGGATCGAGTTTAGGAGACTCGAACCACGGCATCGATTTTGTAGCCTTCGATCCGCGTCAAAAAGAGCTCGAGTGATGGTAGATCGAACGACCCAGATCGAGTTTTGAGAAATCGATCTACGGCAGAGCGAGTCTGACGTCATCGATCCACGTCAAGTAGATAGATTCCCAAGCGCTCGGTCAACATGCATCGAGTTCCCCCCACTCGATCCGCGTCACCACTTCATCGCGGATGTGGCCATCAAACGGTGGAGATCGATCCTCTGTACATCGATATAGGGTGGAGCGCTGCCTATGCCATCGATCCATGTCACCTAGTTCGAGTCCTCTGTACTCGATCCATGTAAATCAAGTTTAATAAACTCGATCCGCGTCGTCTTGTGCCAGCCAATCGTGGCTGTTTCGCTCGATGCACATGGATCGATCCCTTGGCAATCGATCTGGAACTAGTTCGAGTTTATTAAAATCGAACCGGTTCAAACTTTGGTAGTTTGGGAAATATTTATAAAAGTGATGTATTATGGGAATTACTTTTAATTTTTACTGTATTTAGGGAAATAATCCTATTACTTGGCGGTGGTGGGGGATGATCCAGGGGTGGAATAGACTGACTTGAGACATGAGAACAATCATTCCTCTTCTTCTGCCAATTTTGCCACAACTGACAATCTTGGATTGACTTGGAGCAAGTACGTGGGGTTCTCGTTCCGTGCTTTCGAAGTATTCTAGAGGTGGTAGGACAACTTTTGGATAAGCTCTTGATGGCACGCCTTTCCCCTCCTTCTCTGGGCGCTACTGCCTACAACTTTAACCACCAACTATAGCGGAAGGCAATACCCCACCGGTGGAGAAGAAACGTTCTATATTTGAAACACTTACAGGGTTCGTGTGAGAGTGAGAGCCACGAACCCAGTCCCGTAACTTCTCGCCCGATTAGACCATCAAGTAGGGATACGAATTTTGTCCAATCGGCAACATAAGTATGTTTACTAAGAAGAATGTTGTAAGGAACCACATAGATGGAAGCATTGTAACTTTCAGACCCTGGACGTGCCCACGCGACGACAAGAAAAGTTGAATAGTGGTAGGTATTCATAGCCCAAACGCGACCAGAAACCTACTCGATTTTCATTTTTCTCAAACATCCTTGAACGAAGAGGAGCCTTAGCATCGATGAATACCTTTGTCGTAATGAAGACCTCACTCTGGTCAGAGGGATCAACAATAAATCGATTTCACGGACATCAGCTCCCCCATATAAGTGGGCCGTCGACCCAGATTCAAATAGCAGAGCTATGGATGACGAACCCAGGATTTTGGGATATGTGTGTCGGCCCAAAAATAACTTAAAAATAAAAATGAAATAATTAAGTAATTAAATATAAAAATAAATATTTTATTCATAAAGTTCACCAATTTCATTATGTTTGCAGTGATCCAAGATGAATTTTCATATTCTACATTTTTTTAATTATATTTTGTACATTAGGTAGCAAATCAATTTTTTTTTATATAAATAACTAAAAAAAATATTCATAAATTGGTCACTCAACTGATACTAAATATCATTCTTGATTAAACACATATATGAACAATTCTCTCCCTAACATGATCATCAATCACAATGAATGAAGTGGCATAAGCCACAGACAGCCTCGTGAACAAGTACCCCACCAAAACTGATTTGCTCTTGCACCTGACCTATATCAACATCCTCATCTGCAAATGATCAACATTCATAGGATCCATACTCAACACCAACTGTCGAATTGACTTTCTTGAAAACCAGTTGAAGAACCACATTAGAGTGAGGGAAAGACAAAAAATAAAGACAGAACAAGAGTAATCCACAAATGTATCATCGGCGGTAGAATATGTCAAAGAAATCCAATAATCCATCCATCTCACCAAAATTATTCGTAAATTATTATGCATGATGGACGACGGACCGTAATTGATGGGCCGTGGGCCCGTTACAAGACGAGCCACAGTCAAGACAGAAGAAGAACGAGACTCCACTCTGGCACTCTCTAAACACAAACAAAACGGGGGCAAAATTGGAAACCCATCCTCTCCCCCTTCTCAGTCCTACCCAAAAACAAAACAGTGACAGTGTCACGTTCGTAAATAGCCCTTAAACCCCAGGGCATTTTCCCGGTCACCAAGATTTCTCTCTCTTTCTCTCACGTAGACAAACAAAAGATTTGTAGATATGTGAAGTGGTCCCCACGCAACCCATCCCAATCTTTTCTTTCTCTCTCTTTTTTTCCCCCCTTCTTCTCACAGCAGCATTTGTCCTTTTCCCTTTTGTTTAGCATTTGCTGCTGCCTGCTTGGTCGCTTCTTCTATTATTAATTCTCAGCTGTACCCTCTACTCCCACCTTTTCCCCTGCTGCTTCACGAACATTGAGACTGTAGAGAGAGATAGAGGACTGTGTTTGAGTGTGACCAAAAAAGGAAGACGAGGAAGGTGGAGAAGAAGAAGAAGGAAAGAAGCGGAGTGTGAGCTTTAGATCTGAAGCGTAACCACCTTCCCCCACTGTAACCCTACCACAGAGGACGATCCGGGTAAGCAACGACTGCTGCTGCTTCTTCTTTCCAGACTTTCTTGCTTGTGGTACCCAATGTGGGTTTGCTTTGTTCATTTTCTTGGGGTTTGGAGCTCGGGGGAGATCTGGGTTGGGCTCTGGAGCTCTGGGTCGAGGTTGACTTGGTGAAATGCAGTGGTTGTTATTGCTGTGGATGAAGAATTTCTGTGCATTTCAGTTTTGTGGGTTGTGGGTTGCTTGCTTGCTTGCTTTGATGGTACTCCCACTGCGGGGAAAGTGAATTGTGGCTTGTTTGTGATCTTGGGTGACTTGATCCCTCTGGTTTAGCTTGTACGATGGGTTCCGTTTTTTAATCAGACGTTGAGGAAAGAGTTGGAGTATTATGCAGAGTTCCAGGATAAGCTAAGGGGTTACCTTGGAAATGACAAGGCAAATGAGATTTTGAGAGAGGCACTGCATCTCATAAGCATAGGAACAAATGACTTCCTAGAGAACTACTACATGTTACCAGGGAAATCATCCCAGTATACTGTCGTGGAGTACCAGAACATCCTTCTAGGGATCGCCAGAAATTTCATTACAGAGCTTCATCGACGAGGAGCTCAAAAGATTACTATAACTGGGCTTCCCCCGATGGGTTGCTTACCTCTCGAGAGAGCCACAAACATATTCTTCGGGAGTAACTGCAATGAAGAGTACAATAATGTGGCTAAGGACTTCAATGAAAAGTTGAGTGGAGCAGTAACAGACCTTAACAAGGATCTTCCCGGGATCCAACTGGTGCTTTCCAGTCCTTATGAGATGGTAATGGAAATGATTGACAATCCCACTTCTTTCGGTGAGTTGTTAATCCCAACTACTTTAGCAGTTTGCATATCATAACATACATAGTTCAAACTACTGACCCAAGGTCAGCTGCTGCTATAAGAGAAAATGTGTCTGTTCACAATTTCTTTGATATGATACCAATGTTGATAGATAAAATTTCACAATTAACAAACTTAATAGCTTAGGTGAACTTTCCATTCTCATTTTGGTTTTTGACACTTGACCATAAGTTTCATTCTCATTTCAATTCAAATTCAAATTACTTGTTCGTTGCTGCTGGCCCATCTGCAAAATTTCCAATCATCTTAATACAATTGAAAATACTGGGAGAGGTAGCCGACCCTACAGTATGGTGAAGGCTTTTCTACTGCTGTACTTAATTATTTGTTCTACAGTGCAGCTTGTATTACTTATCAGAAATAACTCTAACAAAGGTTATGAAATTCAGGATTCAAAAATGCAGCAATGGCATGTTGTGGCACTGGACTGTTCGAGATGGGTTACATGTGTAACAAAAGAAATCCTTTTACTTGTTCAGATGCAAGAGAGTACATTTTCTGGGATTCCTTCCACCCAACAGAAAAAGCAAACCGGATCGTGGCTGATTATGTTGTCAAACATTTCCTAGCTGCATTCAAGTGATAGAAAAGACGCATGTGCTCAATATATTTATTCAAGTACATTCAGACCATGATGCTTTGGCTTTCAATTTGAGAGGCCCATTTTGTGGCACATTATTAATGCTTAGACCGTCATCTATAATGAAAGCAATACCAGAAAGGAGTCACATTTACAGTACTTTGAACGAAGTTGGCAGTCAGCTAATCACTTTGTTTCTCCATCTCGTAACTATAATAACAATTTTACCAAACTGGTCTAGGGGAAGCTACATGTCCAGCAGACAAAGGATCAACAACACAAAATTTAAGAGTACATTGTGAAGATTGAAAACCCAAGAGGGCTTAACATTTGGTTCCTACTGTCACATGCAAAATATAATTATGAAGTCTAAGTAGTGACGCTCTTAGAGGCAAAGTAAACATCCTAGTCTCAGTAGACACTTACTTTGGCTCCTTAGGAAAATGCAGTTTGATCAGTGCAGGAAGTTCAGCTAGTTCAACCTGAGACCGCCCGAGAAGGATTCTTTTCAGCTTTTCATCACAATTGACCACATTCTTGTTGTTGGAATCCTGGTAAACATGGTGGGAAGGAATGAGAACAAATGCGGAGGCCAACAAATAGCTTAAACACAGCTATCAAGGAAAACTATGTCAAGACAAGCAAACAAAAATCTATATAGCTTGTAAAGTTGACACAACCTGGAGATTATTGGCTTTGATGTATGACCATACTCGTGTGAAGCATCCCAGGCGAGAAATTTGAGATTGACCCACGAAGTCTCGAAGTGTAGAAGGCAGGTTTACTAGATCAATTAAATTGGCAAGCTTTTTGGGGTTGTTTGCAACAACCTTCTTGACCAGCTGTGGCAGCATTGTACTCTCAAACTCTCGTCTTTGATTTCCTTCTGCAAATCAGAGTTAAGGAAAACATCAAAATCCAAGTAACATCCATCGCACGATGATACTCCGCCCCAGAGTTCCTCTGAGCATGTCAGTCCCCTTTACGAAAAAGTAAACCAGAAAACTGAGAACTCCTAAATGGAGGAGGTCCCAATCGAAATAATATTGCCATAAACCAGAAATGAAAGACTCTAAACCATCTTGAAGTTTCTGATAGTTGAACAGTGACAGGCCCTCACAGAGAAGTGAGGGCTAAAGAACATTATTTTGATGTCAAAAGTACAGAAAACTCACATGGGAATTCTGACAAACACCTTGTGTGCTTGAAAATCACTGCGAAGAATTACTACCAGTTCGGACTCTGGAGGGATGGAGACTGGAGAGTCTTGGTAACCCTCGAGGAATTTCCGTGCGTTTCTATTCGGTGTTACTACGCGATCGCTCGCCGCCTGCGTTAGGTAATTTTTTTTCTTCACAATGATCTATTTTGTTTCTCATTTATTTTTAAAAAATACATATATTTAGATTTGAACCATGGTTATTTTCATTTATGATTAGAATCTTAATCAATCAAGGGGGCAGCTCCGTAATTATCGGAGAGGCGATTTGTACCACGAACGCTTTGGTAGGGTTTGTTCGACCGGCATGACGGCGGGGGCCTCGCCGCCGCCTGATGGGGACCAAGGGGGCTCTACCCCGGCGGAGTCTATGACGGGACAACGCCGACCGCGTCCTCGTCCCCTAACCCTAAAGGGGATAGGGAGGCTCAACAAAGTAAGAAGCGGGTGAAACCAACGGTTCCGGAACCACAGAGCTTCAAAGACTCCGACGTGCATTTCGAAGATGCTAATCCGAGTCCAGTTAAGGAAAAGGGCAGCTACCATCGTGAGCAGCCGTCCCCGCAACATGCATGGGGATCAGGGGGGGTGCTGCCCGACGCCTGTTTGGAGATAGGCAGAGGCTGGATCCTTGGTATATCACAGACTCAGATTCCGATGACATAGCAGCTGGTATAAGGGAAGATGGCAGGGATGAAGGATTTGAAGCGGACGACGATCCGCTCTGCACTAGCATTCACTTCTCGGCAGCAGAAGAGCGACAATTTTGCAGGGAATGGCGTTCAGCGTTGGTCGTCAAGGCTCTAGGTCGGTCGGTGTCGTACACTGGCATCTCGAAACGGCTGAACGATCTGTGGGCTAAGGCGGGCGGAATCCAAGTCTCGTCGGTTAAGAATGGATATTACTTGGTTTGTTTCACGAGCGGGATTGACTACGAGCGTGCTCTAACGGGTGGACCATGGATGATGGGAGACAACTACCTCACGGTCCATATGTGGGATAAGCATTTCCGACCCTAGAACCATGAGATATCGTCTACACTAGTCTGGGCACGCCTGCTGGACATACCCATTCACTTCTTTCACAAGGAGGCGGTAATGAAGATTGGTTGCCGCATAGGGAAACCATTGCGAGTTGACCAAGCAACTGCTACAGGTGCTCGGCTAGACTATGCTCGGGTATGTGTGCAAGTGGACTTAACTAAACCGTTGCTGTCCCAATTCAAAATCCATGGGGTGACGTACTATATACAATACGAGGGGCTTGAGAAGATTTGCCTCAACTGTGGGAAGTATTTCGAGCGTTCGAAGTGCTATTGCACGTCTGCCCCTGATTCGATGGATACCGAGTCTCCCATACCGCAAGAGCCATCACAAGAGAAGGAACCAGAGAAGACATATGGGGAGTGGATGATAGCTAAACGCAGACCCAAGACAATGTGAAAGGAGACGCTAGGCCAAGCATCCAAGGGGTCCACGAGAGCTAGTCAGGGAGATCAAACAAAGGGAGGCTCGCGGTTTACTATACTGGCCAACGAGGAGATACAAGTTAACATGGAAGAACCTATCGAGCAAAACAATGGACAAGACAGCTCAGGGCGCGGAAAGGCACTTGGCAATCAGCACTTCAAGCGCTCTGGAAGTGACAAACTTAAAACCAAGGAGGTAGGAGAAAGCGAGCCTGTGCATGGGGTGTCGAAGCCCGTGAAGGCCATGCAAACTACGTCTCCGCAGCTGACTAGAACCGAAAGCACGACGGGAGAAGTGCCGAGTACCACGATAGTAAAACCTTCGGAAATTGCAACTACCTCAGCCACTCCAGCCGACCAAGTAGTTCCACTGTATGAAAATAACCAAACCCTTGCCTCAGCTGCATGGGGGCGTCCCCCGAATCTGGTGGAGCTGTAGAGAGAAGGAAACCACCCTATACAACCTGAAGAAGAGATGACAACCGTGGGAGTACATTTGGAGGGGGTCACCCCGACCAACGTGACACAAAAGGGGGACTCAGATATCCACCTCACCTAATGGGACCGAGTATCTTTGCTTGGAATTGCAGGGGAGCTGGGAGTAGGAAGTTCATCCGGGTCTACAAGGAATATAAGCGGAGATACAAACCTAACATAGTGATTATTGTGGAGCCTCGCATCAGTGGGGCAACCGCGCAGAACGTAATTAATGAGATGGGGTTCGATAAGCAGATAATAGTTGATGCTTCGGGGTTCTCGGGGGGCATTTGGCTACTGTGGAATGAGGCGGAGTTCGCCATTAACAGGGTTGATAGTCATAGCCAATACATCCATGTGCGGGTGACAATGTCAGGGAGACCAGAGAATCAGTGGAAGCTCACGGCTGTGTATGCAAATCCGGCACCTATCCAACATCGTCAACTTTGGGAGGCGTTGAGACGGATTGCCGAGGAGCAAGAGCTACCGTGGTTAATTGTTGGCGACTTTAATTTGATCCTCCACCCATCAGAAAAATTGGGAGGGGGAGCTCCTTTTGATGCTAGCCGGATTCGGGATTTTCAAGACTGTGTGAATGATGCGGGACTAGTGGATTTGCGTTTCAATGGGCCCTCGTATACTTGGTTCAGGAATGGGGTACGCGAAAGGCTTGATCGAGCCCTATCGAATAACAGCTGGCTGGCGACCTGTCCGGAAACCTCTGTGCGTCATCTACCCAGAATAAAATCCGACCATCGACCTCTCCTGGTGACTACGAACCTCTCTCCTCAACCAGGAGGGCCCCGACCCTTTCGTTTCCTAGCGGCTTGGCTGACACACGATGATTTCAAGAACATGCTCGGGGCAGCGTGGGCCAATGGGGACTCCTTCCTCCAGTCGGCCGAAGCCTTTGCTAGTGACGCAACTCGGTGGAATGCACATGTGCTCGGCCATATTTTGAGAAGGAAGGAAGCGCTTTTGAAACGAATAGAGAGGCTGGAGTACAGGGATGGTGTTTCGGCTTTGTCTGCTCAACTGGAGAGTGCGAGAGAAGAGCTTGAGATGGTTTTGTTTCAAGAGGAGCTTCTTTGGTGTCAAAAGTCTCGCCTAGAGTGGATCTCGTCCGGTGACAAAAACACTTCCTATTTCCACTCTAGGACCCTTGCGCGTAGAAAGAGAAACCGCATAGTAACCTTGTAGAACTCGGCAGGGGACTGGGTGGATGATGAATCGGAACTGCAGCAGCTGGCCAGGTCATTCTTTGAGTGGCTGTATACAGATGAGAATGAGACTGCCATCCCTCTTCCCCGTGATTTTCCCGTCTTGGATACCAGGGAATGGCAGGACCTTGCGAGGCAAGCGACTCCGGAAGATTTCCTTGCGGCAATCCGTTGAAAGCTCCAGGGAAGGATGGGTTGAACCCGCTCTTCTTTCAGCGTTGTTGGGAGACGATTGGCTCTTCATTAACAGACCTTCTTAAGAGGTGTTGGGACCAGCCGAGCCGTATTCGAGACATTAATGCCACCGTCCTGGTACTGATCCCAAAGGTGACGACTCCAACTGCGATCGAGCAGTTCCGTCCCATCAGTCTGTGCAATGTGGCATATAAAGTTTTGACGAAGACCATCGCGGAGAAGCTAAAATCGTTGATGACCCAGCTCGTTCACGACACCCAGACAAGTTTCGTCCCGGGCAGGCACATAACAGACAACAACTGCATCCTACAGGAAGTGGTGCACTCTATGCGGGCAAAGAAGGGAAGGAAGGGTTGGATGGTGCTCAAGATTGATCTGGCAAAGGCGTACGACCGGATCCGTTGGGAGTTTGTGCGCGATACCCTGGAGGCGGCAGGGGCCCCTGCGAAGCTGATTGAGGTGACTATGGCCTGTATCACATCAGCCACCATGCAAATTCAATGGAATGTGGGTCTAACCGATCCGTTCTCACCCTCGAGAGGCCTTAGACAGGGATGCCCTCTTTCTCCCTATCTTTTTACACTCTGCATGGAGCGTTTGAGTCATCTTATTAACGATTCTGTAAGGGATGGGACTTGGCAACCTATCAAGTTGACCAGTGACGGGCCCACCCTTTCACACTTGTTTTTTGCAGATGACTTAATCTTGTTCGGGGAAGCGTCGACGGAGCAATCTCAGGCAATCCACCAGTGCTTCGAGCGGTTTGGGGCAGTCTCGGGGCAGCGAGTGAGCAAGCCGAAATCTCGAATCTTCTTCTCAAGCAATGTGACGTCAGACAGGAGAGCTGCCCTGAGCGCCGAACTAGAAATTCCGCAAACAGCGAATCTCGGTCGTTATTTGGGAGTACCGTCATTCACGATCGGGTGTTCAAGGCGACTTATATTGAGCTGGTAGGCAGGATTGACAGGAGGCTTGCAGGGTGGAAAGCGGAGACGATGAGTTTGGCAGCGCGCATTACGCTCGCACAGTCGGTTCTCTCCTCGCTTCCATCGTACACCATGCAGACATCTTTTCTCCCAGCCAGTGTTCGGGAATATATTGACAAAAAGGTTAGAGCTTTCATCTGGGGGAGAACGGAGGGAGGAAGAAAGACCCACCTGGTGGATTGGGACACGGTCTGTAGGCCGAAAGATGAGGGAGGGCTGGGTATGCGATCGGCTACCAGAACAAATGAGGCATACATGATGAAGATAGCCTGGAGAATCCTAACTAAACCGAACGAGCTGTGGGCACGGGTTATCTTTCATAAGCACATGCGTTTGACCGAGGACGGATGGACACCGCGCAGGACAGGGAGAATATCCAATTTATGGCGGGGGGTTTTGCGAGTGTGGCATAAGATGGAGGAGGCGTCGGTGTGGAACGTCCGCAATGGACGCACAGCCAGGTTCTGGACGGACCGTTGGCTAAATGATGGTGAGCCGCTGATTTCCTACTCCCAAGCTGTTTCGGCGTCGGCAAGGGACATTCCCGTGGTGGATTTTGTCCTTAACGGTGAGTGGAATCGTGATTATATTAACCATGTCTTACCAGCTGATGTGGCTTCGCAGGTTTATCTCCATCCAGTACCGATGGAAGAAGAAGAGGACGTGCGCTGCTGGCGATTTTCCCCAGATGGAAGGTTCTCCTTCAAGACAGCCTATGAGATGACGGGGGAGGAAGAACAGGACCACCTACACCGACATCCCAAGTGGCGCACTACTTGGCGGATCCCGGCGATGCAGAGGATGAGAACGTTCATGTGGCTGGCCAACCACAATCGGCTAATCACCAACGCGGAACGGAAGCGGAGGCACCTCACGGAGAACGACGGATGTAAGACCTGCGGAGGAGGCCCTGAAACCACGATACATGTACTCCGGGATTGCCCATACGCAAGGGAAGTCTGGTGAGGGATGTTGCACGCCGAACCAGACCAAGATTTTTTTGAACCTAATCCCGAGCGCTGGATCTTCCACTATACTTCAGGCCGTGGTCACTCTATCGACAGCACGCTCTTCACGTGCATGTGCTGGCTACTGTGGAAAAACCGGAATAATTTTTGCTTTCAGGGTAAGCTGGACTCCTGGGCACAAATTCAGGCTAGCTCGATGCGGATTCGGCAACAAATTATCACTGCCGCGGAGAAAGAACGAGAGGTGATCGGGGTTGGGGGGCTCCGATCGCCTGCGATGATTCAATGGCAACCACCACCTCAGGGGTGGGCAAGTCTAAACACCGACGGGTCAGTGATACTTGCACCAGCAAGCACGGCGACCGGAGGCGTCGTTAGGAGGGACGATGGCCGGTTTATCACTGCGTTCTCCATGAACCTTTGGGGGGGGGGGGTTCTATCACAAGCGCCGAGCTAGCAGGGATTGTGCACGGGTTACAGCTTACCTGGGAGGCAGGAATTAGGAAGGTCATTCTACAGACGGACTCTACGACGGCTTTATCACTCATAGAGACAGCGACTCCTTCCCACTCTCACTTTACAGCAGTGGCGGAGATCCAACGTTGGTTAAGTCGTGATTGGCAGGTTCAGATCCACCATGTCTTCAGAGAGGCGAACGTGGTTGCGGACCACTTAGCTAACTCGGGACACAGTTTGTCGGTGGGG